CAAATTCTGCTAGCTGGCCCTCGTAGGGGCGCCCGGCAATCCACTCGTAGGGCGTCACCCCTGTTCCTGTGTGGCGATGGTACCTATTCAAGGTCCATGCCCAGTGCCTGAAAGCCCAACTGAAGATTGGATGGGTATGAGCAATGTATGTTCCTGTTCTGTGTTCTAAGTGCCTGATCAAGGTTGTTCCTTGGCGCCTAATGGTATGTATTGCTCTCTCTGCCATGCCGTTGGTTTCCTTTTGGCCACTGATCGCGCCCTGCAAGACTGTTCCTAGACCTAATGCCGCACGCTGTTTCTGGATTACCTGCTTCAACTTCATCATTGTTCCTTCGTTATCAGCCTTTAAGTTGATCGTTCTATAAGGCAGTTGAGTGCTCAAGTACGTGACTCCTTCACAAAGGTGCTCCACAAGATCTTTTCCTTTAGATGCTGTAGGGATGCAGATTATGTTCCTACTCCAAGAATCAACGCACACAAGACTTACTGCCGCTGGTGCCTCATCATGACTTGTTCCTGTGAAACAGAAATCCATACAGAAAGTAGGTCTCGAAGATCTTTCCTTCTCAGGTTTCTCACGAGGATGTGGAGACTCTTTTCCTTTGCATGCTACACATGTAGGACACCACGATGCATAAGGCAAGTGTGTAAGATTGTGCACTGCAACTTCTTCATGCTTGGGCTGCTTCTGTACCTTCAAGGGTTCTGCTGCTATGTATTCCTTGTACTTCTTCTGAGCTGTGCTGAGCTCCATGTGCCTCTCTGCTTCCATGATGGATCTACTGAGCCTTCTAAGGGTCTCTTGCTTAGACCAAACTTTGAAAGTCCAAGTTCCTTGCAAAGTTCTTTGAGGGTCTTGAGACTGTTCTGCTGGTTGTATTCATGACCATTGAAAGTGAATGATAGTTCTCCTGCAAGTTCGTGCCTACGTTCTGGTGCTTGGGCCTCTGAGGTCTCTTCCTGTTCTTCTTCCTGTTCAGGGATTGTGTCCAGTTGGTGAACCTTCTGCTTTGGTCTTCTGGCCTTGGGGTTCACTGGTTCAATGAGTTCGAATCTACTGTGTCCTGTCCAAGACAAACCTCCTAGTGGTTCTGGGTCTCTGTGAGGCTCATCCAAAGTCCAAAACTTATCATCTTCAAAGAAATCCTTGTTGATCGGTTCTTCACCTTGGGTGTACCTAGTTGGCTTCAGGTTCGTGATCTCCACTGGGATGTCGTTGGTATCTCGAGGATTGAACAGAGTCTTCCTAAGGGAAATGTGGTACCTAATGAGCTCTTTGCCATCCATGCTGATCGACCACGTATCCTCAGTGTAATCTTCGAACATGCGCCTATCACTGTCTTCTTTGGGTGTACCTATGAGGTTCAAGGGAAACTCCTTGAGAGAAACTAGAGTCAGTGTACTGTACTCTTTGCTGCCGTCAAAGATTGTTCCGCATGGTTCTTCAAGTTCCTCGAACATGACACTATGGTGCAACAGATACCACTGGTCATCATCCTCAATGAGTGCTGCTCTGTATGCAAACTTTCCTGGTGGAAACATCAAGTATGTGTCAACGTTTTCTGAAGTTCCTAAGCTGTAGTGCACTTGGTAAGGGTCTCTCCAGTTGGTCCAACCGACACGCTGCTCTTCAATGAGTTCCTTCAGGTTCTCACACAAGTAGATGGGAATAGGCTTTGCTTCTGCTTCCCAGTTGACTGCTCTCACGAAGGCTTTTGTTGTAAGTGAGTTGTTGTTGTAGTTCACTGCGATCTTGGTTGTTCCTTCTGTGAGGAAGGTTCCTGTAGTTGTTCCATCTCTGAACTCCCAACCTTTCTTCAACAGTTTATCTACTGTCAAAAGAGGGTGCACAACCGATGAAATCAAGAACACTTCTTCAACCTTCACAATGTTTCCCTGAACATCTTGAAATTCAACCTCAACGATCCTTTGGTCCGAAACTTTAATCCGCGTTCCTTGTGCGTCTCGCAAGACTACCTTAGTAGTGTTGGGTGCTTTCCTTCCGTACTTCTTCTTCATCCACATCGGTGCCAACGAAATGTCGGCTCCTGAATCCAGCACGACTTGGATCGCACGAGCTCTTGATCTTCTTGCCGCGCGCACAAAGCTGGTGCTCGTTCTTGGAGGTACTGTTCTTTCAACTCGGTTCCTTGTGGGAGGATGGTGACATCCAAATTCACATCCCTGCATGTTCGGATGCCAGGGTGTCTCGTGACAACCGTTAGGGCACTCGTAGTGGTATCCACGATCTTGAGTTCCTATTGGGGTTCCTTCTAAGTGCCACTGCAACCATGCATCATCACTCACCTCATCACAGTCCTGAAACTCATCATCTTCATCACCAATCCCAAACTCTTCTGTCTCACTGCTCTCTTCCTGAACTTCTTCTCCAACAGCCCGCAAGACTCTTCCGAAGTACTCAATCTCAATTTCCTTTGAATTCTCACTCAACTCGAATTCCTCCGGAAAGCTTGTGGGCTGATCTCCCATGTGGTACATGGAGACCATCCTAATCACTGGTCTTTGGGTTCCTTGGCTTGCTTGGCTTTGGCTTGTTGAGGTCTTGTTCGCTGAAGAAGGGGCCTGAGTAGAGGCTGCAGTAGTACTAGCTTGTTCGCTTTGGCTTTCCAGGTCTACATTCCATTCCTAGCTTGGTATCCCATGTCAGGTTGTTTCTGCCTACACTGTGCTTCAAAGTGTCCGTACTTGTGACAGTAGTGACAAACTCCCGTAGCTGCTTGTGCTTTTCGTTCACCTTTTCCTTTAGACCTGAAGAATCCTCTTCCTCTACCTTTTCCTTTACCTTTGCAGCCTCTGAAACCTCGACCTCGACCTTTCCAGTTGCCTCGACCTCTACCTTTGCCAAAACCTCCAAAACCTTTGCCTTTACCGTCATTTCCGAAGTCCTTTCCACCTTTCTTGCCTTTTCCTTTACCTTTACCTTTGTGGTGCACATAGCCTTTACCAAACCCTTTCCTACCTTTGTACCATGCTTGGTTGATGTCCATAGCAGCAAGACCACAATGATCATCACCTTTGTCGATCAAGTCTGTAGTTGTTCGGTGCGGTGGGCTTTATGTTTGAACTTTGCACCTTCCGATCCCACGATCATGAAGAATGCTTCAAAGGGTTCAAGAAAACACCGCTTTGCCACCCCGATTCTCCGACCAAGGACCAAGTTCATGCCCTGGTAGACCATCGTGACTGAGAACGGATCATAAACAGTCGATCCATGAGCTCCTGAAAAGTCCGTTGTTAGATACGACCTACGGATATGGAGATGTAAGTACATAGATGACATAGAGTATGTGCATACCTTCATGCGGATATGCGGATAGCCAATAACGACTGACGAGTGGGTTCATGTATGTATGTATGTATGTATGTATGTATGTATGTATGTATGTATGTATGTATGTGTGTGTGTGTATGTCTCTCTATGTATGTATGTATGTGTGTATGTGTGTGTATGTGCACTTGTTTATGTATGTATGTTTGTATACATATGCGCATGTGATGTACATGTACCGATGTGTTGAATGTGAATGAGCAAGCCAGCAGACCTGAAGTGCAAACCACAGAGACAACATGCGTAGACGAAGACCAAACAGAATCAAGCCTAACAGCATTTATTTACAACGCTGAGTCTAAGACTAAGAGTTGGTTCTGGAATGAAAACATATGTATAGCCAAAGGAATTTGTGTACATAAATGTATACAGAAAAAAGAATACAATTTCATACGGAAAAGAAAAGCAGGTGGTTAAATACACCCCAAAGGTTCCGGGCTCATATATATATATATATATATGTATTTATTTATCGGTGTGTATAATACCTTGGAGAATTTTCGGGCAGCTATGAAACCTACGGTGTTTCTGAGCCATGTGGACCCTTTGATAGCTTAAGAGTCCCTTGCAGGCAACGCCTTTGCCGCGATGCGCTCGTCCCGCTGGTGTATAACGTGCATGGGCCGGACTGGCAGAGCAGCAAGAGAGCGTGGCACGGCGTAGGCGACTGCTATAAGGCCTACAAGCTCACGGTTGCGGTGTTCATTTTTGAACCCAGGCTCTACTCCGCATCAGCTGGGAATCGGCAGCCAAAATGACTGTGGCAGTGTTCATAGTGGCTAGACTCGGGTAGACCAAAGGATTCACGATTCATGCTGCGGCCTGCCATCCATGACAATGGCAGCTGGCCCAGCATGCTCAGCTCATGTCTGTCTTGCTGACGGTGTTATGTACAACTCTGCTTCGTGGCTTGGTGACCAGACTTAGAGGTACAGCATGTTGGTCGATAGATGAGCTGTCTTGTCCGTAGCCGTTCCAAAGCCAATCTGAAGCGACGACTTGCAACCCGCCCTTGACTGCCACGCTCTGCCCAAGGTATTGGCTTGATGAAAATAGCTGTAAAAGGCCGGGCAACCGCAAGTCGGTATGAGGGGCACGTACTTAAAGGATCATGGGACTTAGTAACTACTCTAAGTAGGGTAACTATACTTATAACCCCAATTAAGGTACCTATATCCCTACTCCAAGCACTTAAAGGAGTCCAGTTGATGACGTCCCTGGCAGCTTGTCGCTTGTAGAATCCTTCACTCACAGGGCTCCGAATCTCGCATGCAGTGCTGAATAGCGAAGAGTGATGGTTCCTACTTGCGCACTTTTCCCCCACGTGCCGCACAACATCCTATTGAGCTACCATCCAGGAGCATCCAGGATGCTACAGCTAATGCCTACTCCTACCCTGCATAGGGATCTTGATTCTCTGCTTGCAAAGGTTGCTTGTCTACCATCGTCAAAGACTTGATTTACTGCTCGCAGAACGACAACATGCCCCAGCAGCTTTCTATGCCTTGCAACTACAAAGGCTGAATTGGACGGCCACGAAGCGCCATCATTCATGATGGCGCGTAGCCTCTCTACAACCCGGCTGCGGGCAATCCCAACAAAAAGTTCTCTGGCGACGCGTAAGGCCGTGGTAAAAGAAATTCGCTTGCAATCACATCTTTTGCCACTCCACCCACATCTGCCCCTCTTCATCCCGCGAACGAACCTGCAGTCTTTGAGGTCAGCATTACATCATGCTTGCCACCATAAATCATCGACCGGGTGCTGAGCACCGAGCTTGAACTGTGAGGGACTGGCCCATCAACGCGACATCCACGGATCGGGCGAGGTCTGTGTGTATGGCGACCTCGTTCTCTATCTAACCAGATCAAGAAGATCGCGAACGGAGCATCAAGTGCTCGGCTGAAATCGGGCTCCGGATCTCAACCAACGTATAGAACCTGTCACTCGGAAGAGGTGTTCTGAGCAGAACCAACGGCCCAAGCAGTTTAGTCTCCGGCACAGGTCGACAGGACCTTTCGGACACTGTCTTTCCTTATCCGCAGCGATGCAGGGTTGCTTTCTTTTTGGGGGGGAGAATGCTCTCCGGCACGCTTAGCAGCATACATCCCGGTGTGCCACACTGTACAATACAGCTCTGCAGATAACCCAGCGTCTCTTCTTTACAGTTGCCGCCGTCGAAAAAGGAACGTACGGGCAGAAGCGTGATGCATCTTCGACGACACACAAAAGGCATACATAAACTCAAGATCCTCGCAAACCAAAGTCGGCTTCTGGCCTAGAGTTGCCCAAGGCCCGGCTGTGGGTTGCCTAAGCGCCCGGCGCCCAGAAGCCTTGTAGCGCTCGTTTGCCTGGACGGCATGGGAGGCCGAATGAAGTTCTGTGATCCTGCATGCTTGGTATTTGTCGGCTTGCGGCCGAAAAATCCGGTATCCCCACAATAATAGCGTCCACGCGAAGAACTTTCATGCACTAGGAATCCGATGTTTTTTCCATTAACCAGCTTTATACATTCGACAGCGGAAGGTCTAGGAACTCCAGTTTCATGTGCCTCTCTCTCACGTTCTCTCTCGGATGTTAAACGAGAGCGGCCAACGTCCCAACACGAGGGAACAAGCAGAAAGCGTCTTCTGTACATCTGAATCGTCCGGATAAGTCTTCACTGAATCTCCACCGCCTTTTTTCCCAACAGCTTGCTATGCTCCCCATCTACCTCATTCTACCTCCACAGGTGCAGGTGCGTTTGCCTGATCTGGCTCGCAATGCCGGGCCTCCAAACCCTAAGCAGAAATTTCCCAAACCCCACAGGGTCCCAGTACCTGAAAAGACCCTGCAGCGTAGGCCCAGGGTCCCCAGACCGCACGAAAGTCTTAAGCCCCGGGCATCACCCAGGGTAGACGTCATGATGCCACCAGCCAGATCGCGGAGGTCTGTGTTCGACAGCCTTGTGTTTGAAGGTACTTTCGGGTTGCTATCGGATCACTGTAAAGGTACCTATTCTGACGGTAAGGGTGGGGTCCACTCGCACACTCGGACTCACCAGATGAGGTTCATGGTTTACAGTCAGCAAAATGTAAACCAACAAATATGTACTCTTCAAGGGAAATTTGCTAACTTCCACAGAAACAGCTGTTTCCTCGGAAAGAGCTACTTTTTTGGGTGGGAGTCGGATAATGGCTAATGTCGTTTCCAGATTAAGATACCCCCCCAGATTAGACGGGGCCGTCCAGGGCATGTCATGGGCTTAATGAAGAAGTCCATTAGACCCCACCCCTATAGTACCGGAGCTCGCCTAAACCCCCCCCGATTAGACGGGGCCATCCCCGAAAATCCCCGAAATAAGGATTTAGGGGATTTAGAGGCATATGACTTAACCTTACTACTGTACTACTACTTTACTACTGTAATACTACTATACTACTGTACTACTACTGTACTACTGTACTACTACTATACTACTGTACTCCTATTGTACGACTGCAATACTTTACTAAGTACTCTCTATCTACTTACTACTATACTTAATAATTAACCCCATCCCCACATAATCGGGGGGGGGGCGGGAAAAACTTGAACCCATGAACAAGTTCAAGCGGGCTAACCTTGACAGCGGGGGGGGGGGGTTGTTAATCTGGATCCAACATTACTTTGCTTAGAATTGAGCTACTTCTGCGGACGGGAGTAGGACAGGAAGAGGAGGAATCCCCTCCCGGCTTCTATGTAGCCGCCGAAATTGAAGATACTTGCAACTTCCCCTGGTCTTCGCTGCGCTAGATACCAGCGGTGAGAACTGGTTTGCTGTTTCAACTCACACACTCACACAGGCAGGCCTGTCTTTGGTTTGCTCTTTAGGGAAATGGCCGCTTTCGAAAGAAATGGCTGTTTCCTTGGCAATAGCCCTTCTTGCGCACTTACATCGTGCAGGTACCGAACTTCCGGGTACCTGAATTGCCCAACAAAAATGACCCGAACCCACCGTGGATATGATTCGCCTGAAGCTTAAACCCAGACTTGAATTTCCTGCATGATCTCCTAGCATCCCTCCAGAAGCAGGACGTACTGTACTGCAAGAGGCGGGAATGCTTCAGCCAAAATGGTAAGTGTGGAATGGAAAAGCCTGACTTCAGGTGCATCATAGACATTGTCAGTTGGAAGAAGTGAATCACTCCTGAAATGAATGGGAATGGTCTTCGTTTTACATTGTCTTAACGATTTCGTGCAAACCGATTTGTTGATAATGCGCATAGCAGATAGAATAGGCACTACTTGCAAAAGTGCCAGTCGCAACATGCAAAGTCATTAAGAGGATAATAACAGCCCAAGCGGATAAAACTCTTGGTGATTCACCAGCTGTGCCCCAGGCAAATCAGAGAGGTTGTGGCCATGTGCAGTGGCCACCAGCTGAACACCTGCCGCAGCCCGGAGTCAACATGTCCAACATACAGTCATCCTCCGGCAGCAGCACTTTCTCATGCGGGTAGCTGTCAAAATTAAGGTCCCTTTTTGGGTACCCGAAATTATAGCTGCCGTATTATATTAGGGACACACAAAAAAGAACCGTAATTTTTGACAACCACCCACGTGACTGGTTCGGCTTGGAAGCCTGATTCGGCAGTCGAGTGAAGCAGCTGCTCCAGGTGTTCGACTAAAAGAGAAGTCGCGAACTTGGAGGGTACAGTGGGCATGTCACATCCACTGATGGGACACAGTGGTGAAGGGATCCTCTCACTATTGCAAGCAATTTCTGTGTTAATGCGATTGTTATTATTCATATTCCAACGGCACCCTTGGCGACCTCGTTCTCCAATCGTCCGAGCCTCAGATGCTTGGCATCTCGACGACAGTCGCAGGGGTCTCGGGTTCAGAGGGCTTTGAAGGGGCTTTGGACTTCCTTTGCCGGCTGGATGTTGGCTTGTTCGACTTTGGGAGGTTTTTGTGTTCACAGAGCTTGGTGACAGCTGGGCCTCTCGCAGCCTGCGCTTCCCCCTTTGTGCCAATCTCGTCGACGACAAGCACCTTCGGCCTAAGGCCACGGCCGGACACGGTCGGTTTACCTTCAACCCATTGAATGCACAGCGGCCTGTAGGCTTCATGGCCAAGGGGATTTATGATCTAGACAGTGGGGCTTAAAGGCGCATAGTGTTCTATTCTGTAGGTCCGGACCATCTGGTTTGCGCAGTGTCTCGGAGTGGCGGCAGGCTTGAAGCTGCAGGTGTGACAACGAGCTCATGCAAGTTGCATCCCGATGCTGTGCTCGTGGATGCTTCAGCCCCTCACCTTCATGCTGTTATATGCTGTTATGCTAGTCGCTGAAGGCCCAGACGTCATGTTCTCCAAGACACGGGTCATGGCCTCTCGACGAGCCTGCCAAACGATGATCTGCAGGCACCCGAAAAACAGGGAAAGTGGAATGCAGATATTGAAGAATTCGTGACGCCACGTGATGTCACTTTCAAGCAAGGCTCTTTGCCCGGCGAACCTCGCTTCTGGTTTTCATCCCTTTGGAATACGCCTCGGAACATGCAGGATGAAGGGTAACTTGCAGATGAGGAGCCGGCACAGGCGTCTTAGCAAGGCAACGGCTTGGAATTTGTTCGGAGGAGAGGGTTTTGCCCGTCTAAAACGATCGCGGAAATTTCTAAGAACTTTCAAAACCGTGAACATTTCAATCAGACTTCGTTGCGACCACCAGCTCTAAAGCCTGAGAAACTGTGGTCCCACGTTATGCGGCGTTGTTTATGTCCCACACACTCGCCCCACAGCCTCTGCACACTGTTTCCTCTACTCCCGCCCTTCCCCACATCCATCTGCTGCCGCCAACATAGCAAACACCTGAGTCAATACCCGCAGGGCTCCATGCTCGGGCTCACCATAACAACAGCTCTGCAGCGAGTCACAAACGCTCGAGCATGGACCACCGTATGTAGCAAACAGAACCAAATCCGGGGACTCGGGGCAGCGAGAAATTTCCCCAGGCAAGTGCTTCGCCCAAGCGCGATTCGGTCACAGTCTGTATTGGCAACCAGCTATACCAATATGGCTGGATATGCCAAGAGTCCTCAAAAATTACAGTGCGTGGGCGTCTTTGGCACAGATGCCCATGCTGACAAATGCAAGTGCTGCTGCGCTTGACTCTCAGATTCATGTCAGAAGTCAAGAAAAATCACACATGCACTATCTTAGCATACAAAGGCACGAGAAATCGACGGCTCCTGTCAAAAACCATCGACGATGACATGTGCCAGGGATGCAACACGGATTCGAGCAAAGATACTGTACAGCGGCCGAAATGCCGATTAAGAGTCTCCCGACGGACTCATTCTTCATGCAAAGCACTCCTCCATGGCTCTGGCGACCCCGACTGCACCAACTGCGATCATGATCCTCAGTGCAAAAGTAGGGCCGCAGTGTGAGATGTCGTAGTAATACTCCGACTCGTCACCCGTCGAGTTGTCGTCGATAGTGGTGCCGTTGGCGGGGCCCGGGATGCTGACATTGGCGTCGCTGTCTATTATCGAAGCTGTGGTCGACAAGGTGGTGAATGTGGTGCTGTTGAGCGACACACTCGTGGATGTGCTCGTTGAGATGCTAGTGGTGGCACTTGTGATTGTGGCAGTCCTGCTTGTCACCGTGGTTGATGTAGTGGTCGAAATGCTCGTGGCTGTACTTGTCGAAGTTTGGCTTTGAGAGCTTGTGGTGCTAGTCGTCAAGGTGCTGGAGCTCGTGGTCGTGAAGCTAGTGATCGTGGAACTGGTGGACGTGGAGCTGGAGACAGAAGAACTGGTAGTCGCGGAGCTGGAGACCGAGGAACTGGTCGTGGTGGAGATGGAAGTTGCGGAGCTTGTGATCGTGGAACTTGTGGTTGTGGGGCTGGTGGTCGTCGTGATCGTGAAGCTTACGGTCGTAGAACTAGAACTGAAACTTGTACTTGTGCTGCCCGTGGTCGTGGAGCTGGCAATGGAGTTCGCCATGGCAGAGCTGCAATTGCAAAACTGCAACGGGCCATCACTGGAATTGGACATTGCCCAGGCAATGATGTCCACCACCGCGGTGTGACTGCCGCCCTCGCCCTTGTAGTCGTAGACACCAATGGAGACTGTTAGTGTGTAGAGCCCTGCATTGTTGAGGGGGAGCGCGAAAGTCCGAGGAGTCGCATCCGTGACGACCTCTGAGTCCGGGCCTAGTCCGCGCTCGAGCCATGTTTGCGTGCCGTCTGGGCCCTCGAACTTGAAAAGCATCTGGTATGCCGCTCCAGACTGGCCGGTGGCATTGTACTCCACTACCTAATTCATTGTTGGGATAGGATTAAAAATGTACATTTTTACTCCTTATTGGGTTCAAGTATCCATAAACGTGTAAAATGTTACCCAACTATGACAAAGCTACCCACAGGATACCGCCAGATGAGACTGTGTCTGAGATTTTCGTCGTGATGCCGCCGCAACTTTCTGCCTGGTTTGTGCAGAAGGCTTGGCTGGGGTCGACTGCTGTGGTTGTCCCGGTCGCAGTGAGACGTGTAATGCTGTTCCCAAGGTCAATCTGCTGGATGTTGGATGAGCATAAGGCGCCCGTATACTCGCCCGAGCTCGTAAGCTTCCAGCTGCCAGGCAAACCGTTTGCCTCTGCCCCGGCGCAAGTCATAGGCCAGTTGACGCCCGCGTCGTCAAAGACGTTCTGCCAGATGGTAACATATGGCATCGAGTAAATGTCTGCCTGGAAGAAAATGTAGATCTCATTAGACCATTGGTAGAAGGTGAAATCCGTGAGAGTCTCTGCGCCAACTTCATCACATCGATCGCCCCTGTAGCCGAAACGGCAAACACATGTCTTGAAAGTGGCCTGTCTAGCATCGTTGACGCAAATGGCGTTGTTCTTGCACCAATCGGGCTCGTCGCCGCACGGGTCCTGCAGCCCTGTGATGACCGGGCAAGCCTCCGTACAAGAATGTGATGCTAAGGCATGGGCTTCAGACATCTCATATCCAGAAGCTACGAGCGTACAGGCTTGGAGGCCAATGGCAAAGACCTTTCCTGCCATGGCCCAGTTTGAAATGCCCCCCGGGCTTTCAGCACTTGAGCCCATGCTAGAATCGCCGGTCCCAACAAAGCATCTAATGGCAGCGAGTACAGCTCTGAGGCAAGAGCCATGTCCTTCAAAGCTCTGCCCACAGCCTTGTGCGGTTGGTCGCCACCTCACAGCTGATACTCGATCGAAGCGCCGTATGCAAAAATGCCACATGTGATGTCATGAGGAAAAAGAAGGTATCCATTTGTGCCCCTTCTGCGAACATCAGTATAATCAAACAGAGCCTTGAACATGATGCCCTGGCTCTGCACTGTTAAAGAATAGTTTCGAGACCATTGGACTACACCGAAGCGGATTTGATTTGGTTTTCGACTGGAGTATCAGCAAATTCAAGCTGTCACCAAAAATTATACGCCAGCCTCCTACTGCCTCTGCTGAACCCAAAACCTCGTTGAACCTGCAAGCTGCTTCGAAAACTTGACTGGCATGCTCGGAGATCGACAATCGACTCAAACTAAACCCCAAACACTAAACTGTTGCTGCCACTACTGCCACTAAGTACTGCTGCTACTACTGCTGCTGCCACTACTACTGCTACTGCTACTGCTACTACTGCTACTGCTACTGCTACTGCTACTACTACTACTACTACTACTACTACTACTACTACTACTACTACTACTACTACTACTACTACTACTACTACTGCCACCACGACGACGACGACTACCTCACTGTGCTGCAAGGTTTGCCCGCCAATCTCAGGTTGCAACACCCTGCAATCTCGCCGGCTGGGTCCACCTGACAAGTGCTGCGGTTCAGGGTTTCGACGCTCACACTCGCCCACAGCAGGATTTAGGGGCTAAGCCCTGCGGGTTTGTGATGTTTTGCCGGGAATTCATGGCTCACAGCTCAGAAACGGAATCCCCTGCAGCATGTCAGTTGCTTCTGAGGCTCCGGGCAATGACTGTTGGCCTTGTCTTGGACATAGTTGAGGCCTTGGTTCAAGGTGTAGGATCCCAAGCCCTTTTTTGAACGAGATCTCTCTGAAGCGCCTCCGGATCCCAAACCCTAAGCCCCATACCACTCTGTTGGGTGGTTGTCAAAATTATGGTCCCCTTTTGGGTTCTTATTAAAATACGGCACCTACAGTAATATTTAGGGTTCAGGAAAGGGACCCTAATTTTTGACAACCACCCTGTTCTACATGGGGGCCGAACGCAGGCCCGCAGCAACGTCGTCTTGCCGACCTCACACTCGGCTGCAGTTGGGCTTCCTCATCTCCTTTAAGGACAAAGACACTTCCCGAGAAATTCCCACTGAAATCATCCCCGCCTTTGGAAACCTAGTTTGAATTAGGGGATGTAGCAGCAGAAGCAGAACGAAGAGTAGGAGCAAGAGCCCCAGCAGGAGTACCCACCTGCTTCGCTGACGGGGCAGTAATTGTCCTAGTTTGGGCGGGTCCATATATCAAGCATTAACCGCTTGAGGTCTATGAACAAATACCCCCACAAAGCCCCCTTCAATAGAGGCACACTGACCTTCGGGCTCCGTCGCAATGACTTTTCAAATCTGCGCGCGTGCGCTTGTCAGGCCTCGTCCCATGCGTGCTAATTTGGGCCGCATGCTGATCCGTGCATATCGTGCATCTGGCGTTCCCACTGTTGCTCGTCAAGGTCGCCAGTCCCAGGATTCATGCGCAGATCGTTTGCAAGTTGAAAGGGTGGCACGATGCAATGCGTATTGGAGCTTGACCACACTTGCTCACAGTACCTCTTGCAGCGCATGAGCTCATCGAAGACGTCTGTCTCCGATGGCCACCTTGGCTACACAAACCTCCAAGGTTCAGCGTCCTGCGCGACAAAGATCGCCACGGATGTCCAAAAGCTTTTTGGGTGCTATTAAAGAACTCTGTCCTGTGGCACTCCACATTCCCCCGCTTAAAAAGTATCGAGGGCTGGAGACGTGGGTTGTCGTCAAACTCGGACTCGCTTCCGGTCCCGCATTTTAACATAGGCAAACGGATTAGATCTCTCTGCTGTTTGGTCAGGGTCTAGCAGCGGATTGCCAAAGCATATCTTGGTTTCGCCTCTACAGGAAAGGCACGGCATGATGTGGGCTTAGGGCTTAGGATTGATCCCAGAACAAACGGGAGTTTCTGAAAACGGGGGACCCATATATAGTACCCTAAATTGTAGGAACCTTACTCATTATAAGGACCCCAAAATAAGGTACGTACTGCACCCCTACTTTTCGGAAACTCCCATATCAGGACCATTGGCATAGCTGTACTTGGGGGATCCTTGGGCTCGCATCTCAGAGGATCATCTTTCGGACAACTTCCCACATCTCCCTGGAGCTTAGCACTTCCAAGGCTTCCGAGGACACATCCGCGGCTTCCGGGGAGAGTCGAAAGTCGGTACCAAGTTGTGTCCATGAACGTGACATCGCGCGGACGCACACGGAATCGTACGGTTTCGGGTTGAGGTGTTCTCGGTTTTGACGGTATCTACCTCCTGGCTGCGTACTTCCAGTCAGAGCGACATTGTGAGGCTAGGGCCTGGAGGACAGTGTGGCTTAGGCGTTCGGCGACCCTGACCCAAGCTGGTGCGAGAAACTAAGCATGACCGAGCTCTCCCCAGGCTTCTTTTGCAATCGAATTCAGGGTTTCTGCAATCTCATAGCGATTCAAAACGGCTTTCTTGTACAGTCAGCTTGTTCCGGCAGCGAGGAATTTAGGTGTAGTCGCCCTTGCAGAACTCTCAGCATAACGTACAATCAAAGAACAGTGAAACCTGCTGCCGCACTACTACTACAGGGGCCTTAATAATTAGAATAGGGTTTTGGGGCCCATTAACCATAGTTATAATAAGGAGCCCTAAGAATTAAGAATAATATGATGTAACTATTAAGGCCCCTATGTTAGGCAGCTTCGCAGATGAGGCAGCCTAAAGAGAGCACTTGCCACAGCCAACGGGCCGTGGAAGCGTCCACCTGCCCACTACCCAGAGACTCCAATATCCCTTAATTCAGGAAATATACCTAGTTATAATTAGTAGGATCCCTGATACGATTGAATGTGTAAAATGTATATTCCGTCATTAGGGGATATTGGATTCTCTCGGTAGCCCACGATTGCCATCAGAGTTGGGGCAGCCCGGCTCTCGCGTCTTGTGTTCAGGCGCCGCCCACTTTGATCGCTTGTGGGCTGTTCTCCGGGGCCTGGAATGGATCAGCGGGCAAGCAGAACCATGTCTGTACTTCCAAGCACCGAAAACTCGGATCGTCACTACAGCTTGAAATTCGAATCATGGCAGAAATGACATCGTGTTGGCCATACCATTGTTGTACTGACATGTTCGTGCAGCCGGCAATCATTTGCGACTGCCTGAGCATGCACCCATGGCAGGGCACTCACAACAAACGAACATGGGGGCCGTAATGATGGGATGCTCAGTACCAATTACTCCGAAACCCCCTACGAAATAACGAGGATAAGCGGCCACGTCCTTGAAGTGCTCATTCCGCATCAGCATTGGCACAGTGTCATTTCCTTTGATGAGAGCCTGACAAGACAGTCTCTACGGACTGTGCGGCTGAGGGTCATCGAGATTCAGCGAGAATCGTCAGTTGCGAACCAGGCGCTGCATCCCCATCAAAATCCTCAACGGTGACCTGATGTGCCAAGGTCATCTGGAACATGTCGTGCCGGTACTGCTTCTGCATCTTCTGCTGCTGCTACCACTATTGCTTCTACCCACCACTACTCTCCCGTCTCCATCACCACCACCACCGCCGCCACCATGCTCACTTCCACCACTACAACCGCCGGCTGGGGCGGAATTACTATTGTACTCACTATGTGACCTGTACGACTGATGCCGATATTGAGATGCTCCTAATGGCATCTAATGAATCTAATGGCCTTCAACATGAGAAAGGACATGACACACCAATCGTCGTGAGGTCCTGCAAAGGCCGCAAGCTGGAACTCAGCCCTGGGCACGATCATCAACTGTCTCGACCCGTAGACCATGTGGCTCGTTGCTCACGGAGATGCGCCCAAGATTTGGGACCTAGACAGCGGCAGGAATTCTGAACCCCAAGCCGCAGCCAGGCGAGATTCGCCATACTTCCACAGTCTCAGCTACTGCTAACTGATATATGGGGTGCCATATTAATACGAAATCTTGTATAAACAAAAACTTGCAATCGAAGCTGCTTGGATCTTCTTGGCTGTATGGAGACCTGTACGAATGAAGATCGTCGCGCGAGGCTCCACCAGGTAACCGGACCTCTCAGACTCGAAGAACTAAATCCTGCACCCTTAAAGGAACCCTCATAGATTTTAGGAACCCTTATATATGCCTTATAGGAACCCTGATACATCCCGTATTGGAACCCTTTTTGGTACCCTTATATATCCCCATTATGGTAACCTAACTTGGAATCCCACCAGGTAACCGGACCTGGAGCTCTTAAGGACCCTGTAAAAGGGGACCCCTTTGATGGAGCCCCGTAGGGTCCTGGTGTTTAAGCCCTTGAATGGAGACCCTAGGGTGTTAATGCTGGGTATTTCGGGCATGTTAGAGGGGAGTTGGGGGGTCTAGGTCAAGGAACGAACTCAACAAAGCCCTGCAGCACTGTACCGGCTTGAAGCTCGTGTTTTTTGACTACGGCCTGGCAGTCAAATGCATCCAACCAACTGCAATGCAGTATGTAAGACAGCGCCTCGACGTGGCATGTGTCAGCCGTGGATATGAGCCCGGACTGCAAGACCCTTTCTGATTTCATTTATTCTGGCCTACTGTTTGACTAGTGCTTCGCGCCCAGGATTGCCAAGCGACATGATGGCATGCTCCCCCGGTGGAACCTGACCAGGTGCACAGACCCTACTACAGTCGCGTGGTGCTGCTCTTCACCGCGGCAACTTCACAAGAACATGATTCGGTATGATCACTCAGACTCATGCATTCATTGCTACTAACGAACTGTCAAGAGTAACCACGAAAGCAGGACGGTCTGCTAGCATGTCAAGTCGTGGATGGGTTTGTTGACCTGGACCCACATGCTGAGAACCCCTGCCTATCTGGGCAGGTAAGTCTCAACAACCTATTTCTTCGCAACAGCAATGTCGAGGTCTTACTGGCCTGGCCCATGCTGAAAAGTGTCGAGCAACATTGGCCCGGTCAAATATCACGAATGCTTCCGTTCAGTTCCTTTGGCAGCACATATCCGTCATATCCGCTGGCAAGTGCCGTACTGATGCTGTGATATCAGGTCTTTTGTGTTACATAAGAGAACGACGAGGAGAGAGCCAAAGTCAAAGTAAGATGCATGCGATTACGCAGGACTACAACCAATGTACCCACTCATTACTCACTCTCCACTACACATCACATAGTGTCATAGTGTTGCCATCACGGCGGTGCCGCGGTGCCGACGGCAGCAACCGTGAAGAACAAACCACTCTGACAGCCGTGACTTTTGCATTTTGTTGCAAGCTTTTCGATGCCACCACTCTGAGAGGTTCGCCTTTCGAAGGGGCTGGTTCTGTGGCCCCCTTGGGAGACAGACTTCAAAACCTTCAGTACACCACCAGGGCGACGACTGGTTACTGCTACTACCTCTACGACGACGACTACTACGATGACGGCTGCTGATTATTCCCTCTCTCCAAGACTACCCGCCTGATGTTCGATACCGTTGGCAGGGGTCGCATCTCCGTGATGTCGGGCCTGCAACTCTGGGAGGAAGCTCCAGGATGGCGTGTTTAGGGTTTCGACGCTCACACTCGCACAGGCAGGTGTGTTTAGGGTTTAGGGTTTAGTATTTCATCTTTATTTATTATTCATGTTAATACATGACAGTTACTATTTATAATTCAGAAATCATTATACAGCCAGTAGATGACAGCATGAGAAGCAGGAGTCACTGCGGTTCAGGATTACATACCAAAGTGTGGTGCCTCAATCAGCAAAAGCGGGGTCTGCATGTTGTTCACGACAATGATCTCTGTAGTGAACGGGCTGACATCCCTGACCTGAATGCAAGTCATGCCGAGTCATGAACTAGTTGCGTGCAACATGCCAACTTGAAACTGTTTCCCCTTGCCTATCTTGCATCTGAGAGACTGTCTCACAGTGCAGATGCGAGCCGGACAAGCCCATGGCTTTTTGAAGATCGGCGGAGGGCACGAACCAAAGGCAAATGCGTTTGCTAGCAGCGCTGGTGCTGCACTTTGAACTGCACGCGGCTATGGGATGCAAGCATTCAACCGCCACACGAAGCTCCAGCTGCCTCCAACGCAGTGATTGGGCAGTGAACCACCTTTGTTGGTTTCCAGAAAATTACTACTTGTAGAAGCACAAAGCCAAGAGAGTTGAGGGGAATTAGCGGCGATGCAGAACATGAGGAACCACTTTGAAAGAAAAGCCGCCGATTTTATAGGGACCTTAATAATTAGAATAAGGTTTTGGGGCCCATTATACTATGGTTCCAATAAGGATCCCCCCAAAATAGTATTGGTAATTATCTAAGCCCCTATATCATAGAACCCTACTATAGGTCCGTCATAGACCCCTTATAGAACCCTTTAAAGGAAAACACCCCCCCAAATAGCATTGGCAATTCGCAGACCCTGCGAATGTGTGCTTGGCCCGAGACTCCAGGGGGCCCGAGCATGAGGATCGACTTGGAATCTGCTAGGATGTCCTACGGTTGATGATGCAAATCCGGCATTACCCATAATAAGGAATATACCATAAGTCCCATATACCCCCTATTATGGGTAATGCAGGATGTATATTATCAACCGTTTTGTGTAAGATAGGGGTCTTTAGGATAGGGTTCCGGTTAAAGGGGTCTATAAGGAATACTATAAGGGGCATTATAAAGGATTTAGTATAGGGGCCTTAAGAATTAATGTGGGAACCTGGTTAAGACACCTTGGGCCTTTATTTGAGGATTCCTTTAAGAAGGGATCTATAAGGGCACTGCAATAATGTTTATATTAGGGTTCCTTATATGAATTCTCCTATTTTAGGGGTTATAGGCCCAGGGTTTCTTGATCAGGTTCCTACATTAAGATAGTGGTCTTAATAATTGGAATAAGGTTCCTGTAAAGGGTTCTATAAGAGCTACTATAAGGGATCTATAGCAGGTACTACAATCTAAGGGCCTTAATAATTAGAATAGGGTTGTGGGATGGCCCGTTATACTATAATGATAATAAGGAACCCCCAAAATAGTATTGGTAAATTATTTAGGCCCCGACAAAGCACGGATGCTCTCTGTCTGTGTGTGTGTGCGTGCGCTGTTGTCGAGCTGCATTACAAGGTCATCTTATGTCTTCTGTCTATGATGCAAGGACGGATGCCATGCGTGTTGCTTCCTCAGTCATCTCCATCGTCAGCACCCCCACATCACCGCGTCCGTGGGCCGTCGCCATCTTCAAGCGTCGAATGCATGTAGTTAGGCTGTCCAGTATCTACTCTGGTCTTGTGGACACACCGAGATAGTCATCGATCATGATTTCTGGTCAGCAAAGCAGATGTTACGCTTCCTGTTCCTGCGGCACAGAAACCAGAGTTGTCAGCTATGATCGTTACTGCGGATAACCGTGCGAGAAGTGGTAGCTACTAGTAGCAATAAGAGTACTTCGTTGTAGTAGCACTAGCAGTAGTCAACAGCACTGGACGCAGAAGTAGCAACCTGAAGAGCAAGAGAAGCCTGTACATTGTAACCGGGCGCTGCAATGCAACCTGGAAGACTTTGCATCAGGCGTTTATCTTGGGCTCTGGGGCAACCCAAAACCTCAAACAGTGCTGCAACTTGCCCCGGCCCAACTCTCCGACTTCTTGTTGTGAGAGGTCGGGGGCCAAGACAAGGGCCGAAACCTCTCAAACGCTTCAACCTAGCACCATTCCTGGCATCATCGCTGGTAAACTTTTCTGAAGCGCACCCCTTCAGAACCGGAGTCCTCCAAAAGCCCAGCGAGATTGGAAGAGGCCCTTCCTCAGCCCGGGTTGGGATTTCGTGTTGACCCCAAGTGTGGTGCTGCGTGGGAGAACAAGAAATGCGCCGACTACACAAGCAGCTACGCAGCTGTAGCAAATTCTGGTCTTCTGAGTGCTGAGGTGTGCACCCGGGCATCGGGAAAGGAGGATTCCGTCTCAATAAATAAAGGCTTCGAACTACTAACTGTAACCCTAAAGTCACGTGTTGAGGGCAGTTAGGGCTTTTTTTGAAGGCTCTTTTCTAGCTGTTGTGCAGCTAGAATCCCTATACCAGGAGGAGCCTGTGGTTGGGGTTAGGGTTTTGGGCTTAGGGTTTGGGGTTCGTGACATCGACCCGTGTGGTTCGACAGTCTGAGTCTGGGCCAACTCGGAAAGCTGAAAGCCCTTCTCGAACGCACATCCCGACAATAGGGGACCCTAATAGAGTACCCTAAATGGCTGGTTGTCAGAATTATGGTCCTTTTTTGGGTGCCCTAAATATTAGGTGCCGTACTATATTAGGGACCCAAAAAGGGACCATAATTTTGACAACCATCCAAATCATAGGATCCTTATTATATATCAGGATCCCAAAATAAGGTACCCCTTATTTCCCCTTGAAGACCAGAGCTACCAGCTGCGATCTTCTGGGACCCGACCAGCTCAAGGCATCAGCCCAGGGCTCCGACCGACTCGCATAATCAGAGTGACCTTCAGTCGTTGAGGTTGGGTGCGGCCCCATACAGTAACAGTCTATGATAGGGCTCCTATTAAGGTCCCTATATCTCTGTATTATGAATATTATCCAACTCTTAGTGAGTGGGTGCAGTACCCAACGTTGAGGCTTCGATGGAGTGCTTTCAGGTTCGTTTCTAGAAGGGTAGTTCTCTAAATTGGGGTCCCTTAAGGGGGTTCCTTAAATGGATCCATAAGGGTTTCTGCAAGGGTACTATAAGGGTAGTTCTCTGGACTCAGAACATGCTTGAAGACTGTGAAGGGCCACAAGCGGAAAACATCGGGGATCTGCAAGTTCGCTCAAGAGAAGCCACTGGCGCCCACAACAAACCGTGGCATAGCTCCCAAACTTTGCACCATTGAGTATGAGCTTAAGATTTGCGCATGAGTTCTGGAATCTCACTAATGCAGGCCCGGAAGGGTGGGCAAGCATGGGAAGAATGAGCCACCATAGATTTAGGTTACTGTTGTGACGACAATATCGGTAGACGCGCGCATGCATGCACACATACAGAATATGCATTTGAGATCATTTGAGTATGTATCTGTTCTCCCCTCCGTTTCTGGAACCATAAGAAACTCCAAAAAGTGCCATGGTCCAACGAAACAGAACCCGAATAAGACTGCCGAGCCAGGGCACAACTTGACCGGACTGGTTGCGAGCAGCAGAGATGCGATGCCTCAGACAACAGGACGGCTCCGACGGTCTCATGTGGGGGTTTCCGAAAACTAGGGGTACTTCATTTTGGGGTCCATATAATGAGGATCCTACTATTCAGTGTGCTGTATTAGGGTACCCTATTTTCGGAAACTCCCATGTAGCATTCCACGAGGTGGTAATGGGTCGAGAGTTGAAGCGGCCAACAATGCAACGAAGGTGTCCGGGCACCGATATTACATTGGAGCTGGTCTCTTCACGACTCCATGAGCTTTCCGGAGATAGGAGAGTCGCAAAGCGACAAGTCCATGTTCAAAACACACGGCACGCCAAACCTAAACTGACCAGAGTGCGAGGGCTGTTGGCCTCAACTGCAATAACTGAAAGCCAATTAGTTTCGTATGCCCGCCATGAGCAGCTCGCGTGGCACATGGTCTCAACTCGTTGGGAGGCGCTTCGCAGCTTGAGAGCATGAAGATGTTTTATGTTTGGTGCGATGCTGGTAGGCCTGGAAGGCAGGTTGAAGAAGTTTGATGTTGGGAGTTCCGCTGCATGATGTACTACTGTGTGGAAACCATCAAATTGGCAAATATCATCGTGCATACATGTCGGGGTACCGGCTATACTGACCTGTGCTTTAGTATGCCAGGGAAGAATGCTATGCTGTAGCCTTGAGAATTTTCATGCTACTCTACATACTGTAGCAGCTGTAGCATTGAGAAGTATACGCCTTTGCTATAGAGGCCGCATCTAACCGACCAAATCCTACGATGCCTAACCTGAGACTCGTTTGGAAGCATGCTCCGATCCGCTTTTCAATGGGATGGAGTCACGGCCCATGATAGTTGCACACAGGCCACCCCTCCACCTGAAAATCCGAATATACAACCCTTAAATTATGCTTGCCTTACTGACTCCTTAAAGGGAACTCCAGAAAGTTGGAATATGGTTTCAGGGTAGGATACCCTATAATTTACCATAAAGGGTTTAGGATAATCATATTCCAACTTTTGGGGTCCAGGAAGTCAGTGACAATAGTTAGTGGCACGTTATGCAGGTGGCACATGATGTGAATCATCCTGTGCTGTTTCGTGGCTCTTCTACTGAGGCTCCTACAACTTTTAGGGCTGCTTTCTGAAACTCTTAGGTTCCGGCAGGGTGCCGTCAATGCCCGCCCGGTCCTGTCTCGCAAGACCAATTCATGTTTCGCTTAGGGAGACAGAGAACATCATGAGGATGATGATGGAAATCATCATGATGAGGAGAACGAGGAGGATTTGGAGGCTTGGTTAGATAGAAAGAGCCAGATAGGAGGATCGATCGATGGATAGATTGAGAGACAAATAGGACCTATGTACGTGTGTAGCGGTCGTTTGTCCTACTTTCATATACACATGCATCCACATCTACGTCTGGTGTAGGCGCTTTGCAGGTTTGTATTGTGCGTGTACATGCCCATGAACTAACGACAAAGAATGCACGAAACATAACTGATTCATACAGTGAACATATATATATATATATGTATTTATTTATTTATAAACAAACCAACATGCAAAACAAATGCAAAACAATAAATACGTAAACAAACCACACATATACAAAAATGCATATGAACACATGTACACGTCCATACATACATACATACATACATGCATGCATGCATACATACTTGCTGACTTACTTTGTGTGTGTGTATATGTATATGCACACATACACACACATAGTGTATACACATATATATATATATATACATATATATATATATATATATATATATATACATACATACATATACATAAGGCTAGTATGGTAGGGACGGCCCTGCTCCAGCTGTTTAGGCTGAGGGCTACCAGATTTTCTCCGGCAGCCTGAATCGTGAACTTCTTGAGCCCGATGCGCCTCAGCTACGATTTTTTCAAGCTTCCACATGGGTGGTTGTCAAAATTGGGGTTCTTGATATAATATACCCCACCTATATTTAGGATACCCAAAAAGGGACCCTAAGTTTAACAAACACCCACATCGGCGAGCCCAAGCAAGCACAGCAGGTCGACTTTTCTGGAGATCGAAGGTTCAACCACACTCAAACTTCTCGTGCGTGGACCTCAGGCCACTATAGCGCAGCGCTGATTCGGAGAGATGTGGAAGTCGACAGTGATGCAGCCATGTCCGGGTGAGGAAGGAGGTACCCTAATGACAGTCGTTTGCACGGAACTTTCTAGCCAGCTCTGCAGCAATGGTGCCTTCACCTAGGGTCTGACCTGGCTTAAGCTAGTTTGTGGATGTTGTACTGCTGCAAGCTAGGATCCTGCGACTCAGGGTGTATGTCGGGGTCCTGTAATTTGTTTTGAACTATTCTATTCTACAACTCCCAAATCAAGGCCCTGGCTGCACCACAAGCTGCACATTCTCTTTGGTAGCTGGCTCGCCTCGGCCGATCAGAGCCATGGCTTTGTAAACTCTAGTTGCACTTCCCTGTAGAACCCTTGTACAAGTAGCTAGTGTCTCTCAAAGTATCCCTTATAATTCATAACTCTTATAGCAAACCTCACACTAAAGTAACTCTGACATGAACCCTTCATCTATGTCCCCTGTAGACACCTTTGTTTGCTTCCAGCCTGCAAACACCCTGTAACCACTTAAAATCCTAAAACCCTTCTCGGCTCAAAGCCGAGAAAGTCGCTGCGCATCACACGCTCCCCCATTGGCTTCCACCGGAACTCCAGGGGGCGGCCAACCTCAATTCCGGAAATATAGGGAGCCCAAAGAAGTTCTGCAAGGGTTTTGTGATGGGGTCTGAATCCCTAGAATGGGTTTTGGACGGTATATTACATACAAGCATACTTTACTTCCAGCGGATACTGCTGCCAAACACTCCGGCTCCTTAACGGTGTGCGCTAGGACCCTCTGCTACCTCAAAGCGTCGACTATCTCGCCTTCTAATTACTCAGGACCCTTATATAGGGGTATTTATAACTAGAATACGGTGTTGGGGCTACATTCGACTACAACAAATTAAGGAACCTCCACAGCAGTATTGGTACTTATTTAAGCATAGCCCCTCGATTACATTACCGGATTCTTGCACAGTTTTCCGACGGCCCCGGCGCTGATGACAATCTCCATCGGGTTGCTGTCGACCCTCAGAACCCAGGCACAGAAGGATCTGATCCTTATCTTTGGTTAGTAGGGAATGGAGGACTGGGGTACAATCATAACTACTTACTATTACTACCATTCTTCCATTCCCTACAAAGGAAAGGATCTTGTAGGTTTGTGGAGGGACTACGAAGGCCGGGACATGATTGGCCAAAACACTACGTAGAGTGCGTGGTATGTTCTATTTGTATAAGAGGTATTTGGGAGTTTCCGAAAATTAGGGGTACCTTGTTGGGGGTCCTTATAATAAGGATCCTACTATCTAGGGTACTATATTAGGGTCCCCGATTTTCGGAAACTCTCATTTTGCAACCGCGAGCTTGTAGGGGCCCGGCTCTCGAATGTGGCGCTGGACCACCTACGTGTCAGTGCCACCACATCACCACATCAATATGCCACGCGTTACAAGCGCCCTCACTTGACCGTAACCAGAACCTTGCTGAGTCCCACGAGCCTCCGACGTGCGACATTGCTGTGGAAAACCGAAGCCCCGAAACCCTAAACTGTTGGCAAAGGATACGGGCTCAAAGCTGTGTCGGATGACTCATGCAATTTCCATAGCATGCTTTGGGTTTGGGCACGCTGGGATGACGTCCTTAAGCGGTCTATAGCGGTCTTGTATAGGATCAGGTTCGCCCTGTCTGCAGATGCCCCTGATGATCAACTGCATTCTACATTTGCCTACTATGCGTGTGCGTGTGTGTGTGTGTGTTTGTGTGTGGGTGTGGCGGTGTGTCTTCTGTGTTTTGACCAGCCCCCCCCCACCCTTAAAGCAACAATTGTCGGCGACCTCGAAGATGGGGTCCGGAAGGAGACCTTGGAGCTTGGATACTTTCTTCAAGGCTCTTGAAGTTTTGGGCAGGTGTTGGGGGTTTCACGCGGCTTGATATGGCTTTGCTGGGCTTTGCAAGGTTTTTTGCACGCAGTTTCGTCGGTTTTCGGCGGCTCTTGCATCTTTCGGTACGGCTCTCACGACAACGGGTTCAACAATGCGCACCCCTGCATACAGGGCCCAAGCGGAGCAAAGGCTGGATTTCGGCTGCTGCCTCCGCAGCCTGCAAGGCAGTGGCACTGTTACTGATTCGGCTATCTAGCATCATACGAAATGGTATGTAACATAAGTCACGCCTAAATACCATTGGTAGTATTTTTGGGATGCAGTGTCATGCCAGAGGGTTAGTTACTGCCATGGTCCTGTACCATGTCGGCTGAATCTTCTCGCCGCTTCCACTGGAGCTTGGTGCCTCTTTAGGATTTCGGCCGAAGTTGCACTGCGGGGACGAATATGGGACGAGATCCCAGCCAGGCCCTAATCCCATGACACACCCTACTACGACTCGAATCTCACTAACACAGGCTCAAGGGTAGAAAACAGGAAGCCTCGTTTCAGGAGCTTCTAAGAGACCATCCGAAGCCAACGGAAGCAAAAGCTTAGGAGGCCGCAGTGAAAAACAAACGGATAATGTTCTTGAAGTCTGGGGATTGTGACTTCACGAGATGCCAGCAACAAGCGCATCCCAAAGCACGACCCGAGCAAGGAGCCCCCCCAGGCCTCTCGTTCCTTCTCTCTCTGGACCTCCAAGACCTTCTTCCTCAGCTCCTGGGTGTTTAGGGCCTCCTACATTGCCGGGTGACTCCCAAGTCTCAGACAAAACGGGGTGTAGAGTTTCGGCGCTCACACTCGGACAATCCAGGCGAGGCATATGGTTCGGAGTCTGACAATGTGAAACGTTCTAAGGGGGTGTAGAGTTCAAGGTTTCGGGGCAAACAGCGACATTATAAGTACCCTAACTGGGGTTATAAGTCATTATAAGTATATTTACCTAATTCAAAACCCTAGTTATACTAAGTCCCATGAATGAGAGATTGCATCTCGTCGCCGGAGTCTGCTCTAGGACTGGGAGCCGGGCTTCGCTGCCACCTGAAGCGCAAGCAAAAATGGTCTAGGGCCTTTAATAACTAATAAGACTAGGGTTTTGGGGTCCCATTATACTACTATTATAACAAAGAAGCCCCAAAACAGTAGATTACTCTCAGAAAACTGCGGCCTTCCGAAAGCCGCCGGGAACGAAAAGCTGATCTGCAAACGCTCGGACTTCTCCTGTCACGACATACCACGTCATCCCGAACTACTCCAAAGACCCTGTTGTCAGGCATGCTGCAAGCCCAGGAAGTAACCTCTGGATGAACTTCAGTCGGGCCGCTGAGGTGGCAGACGAGCTTGTGGTCCTTGAAGCTGAAGGGCACCTTCCGTCCTGTGCCGCAAGGATCCCACCGAGGCCTCCCGAGCCTGGAAGCCTGAAATCGTGGTATAATCACTGGTAATCCTGGTAGGGGTCCTTTATCATAAGCTTCCCGACGTTCTAGGGCAGGGTATGGGATTATGGGAGCTTCTGATTCCACAAGCCAGAAGGCCAGAACCAGGCTTTTATCGGCCCCTGGTGCCTTGCAATTGCTGTAGAGCCGCTCCTAATCCGTCTCAGGCAGACTGTCCACCGAAGCCTACATGAAGCTATGATGCACCAAACCTCGGCACAAGCACAAACGCGACCTTCCAACCAACATCGTAATAAGCAAGATGCACTCGCAGAATCAAACGAATGCAACCTTTCCAAACCTTGGCGCCAATGGAATCTTGTTCTCAAGCGCCGAACCTTTGAGGCTCCATCCTTAAAAAAAGCCTTCAAACAACTACTTGCCTTTGGTTAGTAGGGAATGGAAGAACGGTAGTACTAGTAGTTATAGCTGTACCCCATTCCTGCATTCCCTACTAAGCAAAGGTAAGACTATTGTTGATCCCTGGATGATCTGTGCAACAGGCCTCGTGGGAGCGTCCTCACATGCTGCCCAGGCCAGGCACGGAATTCTGCGAGGCCTCAAACAGTCTGCTAAGCATACTCGGGCATTTTGGCTCCACATGGCAAGACGGACCCAGTATGAGTATGCCAGGGCATTGTCTTCTCTCCCTGCCTGGCTAGGACGAACTTGTAATGCATAAGATTTTGCCCTCCTACTCAGCAAGGACGAAGTTCTTGTCTGTTCGGTAACTGTGGTCGTTGCACAGCATAGATTCTAGGGTTTCGAGAATGCAAGACACAACTAGCCACACCACATACAGCGATTACGGCAGCACTACCAAGTTGTTCTCATTGCGCAGGCCATGAGCATGAAATCCCAATGAAGGTCGCCAAAAACAGACAAGCCCATCTGCCTTTTTGGCAAAGCTTCTTGAAGGTCTGGGACTTGCCGCCCAGCAGTTTGCCCATGGCAAGAGACCTGGGGTGAAGAGCAGCGAGAGGGCTCGACGACAGTATCTGTCACAACACAAGCTTCCTTTGTGGGTGGGCACGGCGCTGCAAAGTACAAAGAACCGTATACTTGGGTCCCGCTGCTTCGTGAAAACCGCAAGAAAGCCTTAAGACCAAGTCAACTGAGCACCCCGGACTGTGGGCTCCATTTCTCTTGGCGCCGTCGTACATCGAGCAGTGCAATCAGCGATGGCAGAATCCGGCAGGCGCATCTCATCTCGGCAAATATGCGAAGGATAATATTAACAGCACCACGGTGCGTCTCAAAAGATCCGACACGCCCTCTCGGACCCTGCGCTCGGCCAGTTCAGCCGAGCCGCACGATATGTACCAGTTCGTGCGTCGATATCCACTAGCTACTAGAGTCAGAGATTGTAGAATGTAGCCGCAGCCAGGAAGGCCCGACACGTGGCAGTGGCCTCAAGGCCAACATTATCCTGGTTTGTGCAGGTGCACTGGTGTGTATGTATATATATATATATATATGTATATATATATATGTATATGTGTGTGTGTTTGTAAATGCATGCATTTAACTAATTACCTATTGTTTGGTTCATCTATACATAGACAAAAGTATGTATTTTCCATCTCGCACAGCCGAAGCTGCAGCTGCTGGGGAACAACCTGCCTACAGATCCTGCAAGCGTAGATTACACGTGTGTATATATAAATATATGTGGCATACCCATTTGCATTGAACAACTTGTTTCCACATGTCTGCACATATATATATATATATATTTTTTTTATTTATTTATTTATTTATACACACCGGCACATATACATATATATGTATATACATGTATATATATATATATGTATATATATATATATATATGTATATATGTTGGTTTATACACGTACATGTATTTATCGATAGTACTCCTCCTCTATTGTTTGTGTTTATGCATACAGTAGGAGCAGGAGCAGCAGTAGGAGCAGGAGGAGTATGTGGTGATAGTAGTAGGAGTAGGAGTAGCACGAGCAAGAGCAGGAGTAATAGTAGTAGCAGTAGCAGTAGCAGTAGCAGTAGTAGTAGTAGTAGTAGTAGTAGTAGTAGTAGTAGTAACAGCAGCAGCAGTCGTAGTCGCAGCAGCGGTAGTAGCAGTCTCCGTCGTAGTCGTTAATAGTTTTTTGCCTCGTAGGAATAGTAAGAGTAATAATGATAATGTCAATAATATCTATAGGAATAGTACTAGTAATTATGACAATGTCAATAATATGTAAAAATGCTAACAGTAGTAATCGTAATAATAGTAACAATAGCCCGGAGCCCCGCGGTGGACCCACCTTTCAAAATGAATAGGAATGTCCTTTGCTTGCTGCAAGTGCTGAAAGTACTGGTTTTGCCGTATGTTTCCATACTGAGTGCACTTGTCCATGGAATTGCCAAACCTCGTTTTGGGTGACCACCTCGGGTCTCCAAAACAGTCATTTTGGGCTTAAAACTGGCGTTTTGAACCACGCGGATGACGCATTTTTTTCCTTACTCCTCCTGCATGTCGCTGTGGCGCATGACGTCTCCGATCGTACGCCACAGGTCGTGCTGCGCATTCCAGTGCTTCCACTGGAGCTCACGGACCCGAAGCTCACCGGCTTTTTTGCGCTGAGCAGAAACCCCGTGGAGAGTTTCCTTCATCCACGTCCACAGACCGTCCAGACCACAAGTACCGGCAAGCACCTTCTTGAGACCCTTTGAGGGTAGCTTGTGCTTGCAGAACTTCGTCCACTGAGGTCCTCCGTTCTTCTGAGGACTCGAATGGTTCACGGAATCCAACTTGGCACCCAAAGCATGCTTGAGAGCAGCAGGGTAAGCGTGTGCTCCATCCACATGCCAAATGGACTTGGGATGAATGTGCTTTCCTGCGAACCGAACACACTCACTCTTTGTCAGCGGCGGCGGAGAAGCCTTGCCGGAGGGTCTTCTGTTGCAGGAAGTGTCCCCGTCACGTTCTTGGAGAATCAAGGTCGATCTCTGACCTCTTCATGAAGCCAGTGCCCTGCAGAGGTCGAGGCAGCGGCAAGCGGCATTGCCGCAGAAGCAAAACTGCCGACAGGGCCACAGCAAGAAAAGGACTCATGGTTACAACAGTGCATGCAGTGTTCCAGACGCATGCCGAACCGGACGTCATTAAGCCCTCCCCCCCCAACATCCAACATCATCTTCGTCATCATCGTCAGCATCTGACAGTCCCAACATCCAACATCATCTTCCTCATCATCGTCAGCATCCGACAGTCATGACGAAACGTGGCTTCAAACATGCATGTTCCAGACGCATACCGAACCGGACGTCATTAAGCCCCCCCCTCCCCCCCTGCCCCCCCCAACCTCCAACATCATCTTCGTCATCATCTGACAGTCCCAACATCCAACATCATTCTCCTCATCATCGTCAAAATCTGACAGCCATGACTAAACGTGGCTTCAAACATGCACGGGGGGTGGGTCCAGAAAGGGGCACCGGCCTAACAATAGTAATAAAAGTAAATATCAGGTAGTTGTAATATTAATGGAATAACCGGTATATATATATATATACAACATAGCAATAGTAGTAATTGATTGCTACCTACGGCAAGTAGGTTAAATAGATATCCTCGCGAAAAGACGGCGCCATTGCGCAACTTTCGTCAGGGAATATTTAGCAATGCAGTTGGTCCTGCATATATATATATATATATATACACACACATATATATATATATATATGTGTATATATATATATATATAAAAATTATCGCACAAGGAGCTTTAGGTCAACTACCATATATGCATGAAATTAACCACATCTATACACGCATGCATACATGCATTGCTGCATACATACATACACAAATATATACACAGTTACATATATGCACATGTACATAGACATGGGGTGAATCTGGCGGCCATGCGCTTGTGATGGAGAACCTAGAAAGCACAAAAAATGCGATAGGGGAACCAAGGGCCAACGGAAGCCATGTTTTTGGACCTTTGGTAGTTCGGTCTGACGGCGTATGGACCAATGACTGCCATGTGGCCATGTGCTGCTGTCGAACGTAGACAAACCAAGATTGGAACAGTGTGCGCAACAAACCGCCCTGGAAGCTGCGAGTGACCGCGCCGAGGCAGGTCAGGGACTCGCCTATCAGATCCCTATCTTATCAACATGATTACATACATACATACATACACACATACATACACACATACAGACATATACATATATAAATACATACATACATACATATATACATATATACATATATACATATGAATGTTCTTACATACATACATACGTACGTACATATGTATACATACACACACGCACATAAAATTTGTATATATGCACGTTTATATACATATGACATGACACACCACGAAAGGCATGTATGTACAATAGACAAAATTGCGAGCCCGTTGGAGCCAGCTGTCCTTCATGTCGGGTCATGTGCGGCCAAGGTTGCTGCCAAGTTCAGGCAGCAAGGTGAAAGCTTCCTAAGATAAACGCTGTCCGGTGGGCTGCGTGACCCCAGGGGTCGGGCGAATGTCCATACTAGTCGAAATAGTAGAATCAGATTCTTATTGCTTTATGATAGAATCTGCGCCTGAACGCTATGTCTAAGTTTACAATGGCCCATATGCTCTCTTGGAGCCGCTTCCTGCGGTTCTGTGGTGTGCTTTGCTACTTCTATGGCAGGTCCCATGCACAATGTGGATTCTGTTATCCTGCGCCATGCGCACTGCCCTCCGGAGGTCGGGTTCTTTCGCTTCATGTCACGTTCGCGACAAGCATTGAAAATGGGGCTGCAGATTTACAGCCAATATGGGTTCACCGACTTGTGACCGTGACTACACACCGAAGGTTTCCTGGCCGGATCCAAAACGTAGTCCTTTGAGGATCTGCGTCTCTAGCTGCCGTTGTTTTTGTAAAACGTCCTTGACACTGTAAGCCAAGCTCGTGATGTCTGAGTTGGGCTCATTCACGCGTGCCCAGTTGCTTCCCGTCATCTCAAGCTGAACTCGTCCATGTGCGAAGCGCACCTTACATCGAGAGATACTGGTCTCGAAGATGAAGCGGTTGCGAACACATGCAATGAACTCACTCATGTCAGAGAGGTTCACCAAGACCACCTTTGCACCCGGCATGTTGGCCATCATTCCAGATGCGGCTGGCTGCAGCATGTGCAAGAGGCAAACCAGGAGCTCAAGCAGGCATGTCAAGCCAATGGCCGGGTTGCGAACGGCATTTGCCACGCAATCTGGCAAGAACTCAAAGACAAATGCCATGTCCTCAATGCCGTCCGCCAGAAAATGCTGAAGTAAAGTCGTCCGCTCGTTGGCCCCAAGTGTATGCCAAGCCTCCTCGCAGCAGGGCTGGGCTGTTTGTCCCTTCGCTCCAATACGCACACAATACGCACAGGCCGCGATATTGTTTTGGTGTATGTGCTTCGAGCTCTTCCGATTTCCATGCTTTCCCAAGAGTTTGGAAGTTTTGCATTTTCGGTGTTTCAACGGCTCGCCTTTTCTGGGTGTTTCTGTGTTTGAAGGACTTGGTTTGTGCGAGGATCTGCTGCTTCGGGCTCTTCGGAGTTTCAGTGGCGTTTTCCCGAAGCTTGAGCCTCTTTTTCTTCGGTGTAGCCTCCATGAAACGTTCCCGCAGAGCATCCATGCCCCAACCGTAATAACTTCCACTCCGACCCCATCCGATTACCGGAGCATACCGGAATACCCCGCAAGGCTTCGAAACTCGCTTCTGCATCCCGGAAAACAGCACAGTAAAGCGGGCTGTGGGGCGCACACCTACAGTAGAAGTTGCTGATGCTGTGGTTGCTTAAACCTAATTCTAAAAAAAGTGTTCTTACTGTTACTGTTGTTATCACATCCATTTTGCGGGCCTGCAGCTGCCGGTAGGCATTTCGATCCTCCACCCGCGCAAGGCAAGCGAGCCGGACTAGCACCAAGTCTTCCGGGGTGAGG